TGGAAAAAAGTAGTCTTTTCTGTCAAAGGAGATAATTAAAACGAGTCCACTTATAAGAGTCCCTACTTTTGCAAAATCCTGCTTTTATAAAATATACATCTCTCTATGTAGATATCTGTATCTATACATGTACACTATACATGTACCAGTTAATACTGGTATTTTTACTTAATCTATAATATCTCTTAAAAGAATTAAGTTTGTTTTTCTCCCTTTTAAAAAAAAATATACTGTTGCTTATTGCAAAAAATATATATATATAAATATTTATATATATATATGTGCTTGTTTCACCATTCCGTGAAAACTTGAGACAAAGGGCTACATGCCTGTCCACGTGCCATAAAATTTTGTAAGGAAGGGCTTTCGGATCACAGAATTTGCTGTCTAGCAACCATGGTCTCATGAAACTAGCCAACCGGGTTGGATTTCGAGGCCAGGCTCTCACTGAGGGGGAGGGGCACAGTGAGGACCACAAGCCAGGGATTAAAACCCAGGCAAACCGATGGCTCAGCGTGCTTGCTTACTTTTGTCTAGCTCTGCACCCTTCCGCAGAAATAAAGTTTGCCTTGCTGAGAAACTTTTGAAAGTTTGTTTTCTTTTGTCCTGTCCTCCACATCATAGAATTCATGCCTAGCATAGCCCAGGCTGGCCTCCAACTCGAGGAGATTTTCTTGCTTCAGCCTCCTGAGTGCCAGGATAACAGGCATGTGCCACGGCATCCAGGGGGGGCATTTTAAATCTAAATCCTAACACTAGAAAAGAACTCTACCACTGAGCTACATCCTCAGCCCTTTTTATTTTTTGGAGACAGAGTCTCACTGATTTGCCTAGGCTGTGGGTGGATGTAGGATCCTTGTGCCTTAGACTCCACAGTAGCAGTATTACTGGCATGTGCCACCGCATGCAGCTCATTTTAACCATTTTTAAGCATGCAGTTAGAGGCATTAAGTGCATTCATTATTGTGCAAGCATCATTACTCTTCATCTTTTTTTTTTGAGACAATGTCAGCCTAAAGTCTAGGCTGGTTTTGAATATAGCTCAGGCTAGCCTGAAACTTTACATCTTCCTGCCTCAGCCTCCTAGGTGCTGAGATTGCAGGTATTTACCACCATACCTGGCTCCACCTTCCGTTTGTAAAGTGGAAATTATTCATTAAACAACGGCTTCCTCTGCTCCCTCTAATCACCGATGATCACCACTCTCCTTTCTATTTCTATGAATTTGATCCCCAGATACCTACGTAAGTGAAGTCCCACACTTGCCCTTTGATGCCTGGCATAATGTCTGCAAATTCATCCCTGGAGCATTTGTCAGAGTTCTCTTCCTTTTAAGGCTGAATAATATTCCAGCATATGTACATATTTCATTGTGTTACCCATTTATCTGGATTTGGGCTTTTCCATCTTTGGGCCATGGAGAATAAAGCAGCTAGGAGTACAGGGTACAAATATCTGTTTGAGTCCTTGCTTTCAATGTTTTGTGCATCTGTCCAGAGATGGAACTGCTGGGTCACATAGCAGTTCCATGTTTCATTTCAGGCATGATGTTTCTTAAGAGTTACAAAACCTTAAAAAAAGAGAAGTTACCAAACCATAACATCCTACAAATACTACAAGAAAGGAGAGAAGCTTTTATTATTTATTTACTTATTTATTTATTTAGTCTTTTTGAGACAGGGTCTCATTATGCAGTTCAGGCTGGCCTTGAGCTCACTTTGTAGCCCAGGCTGGTCTCAAACTCATAACCATCCTCCTGCCTCAGCCTCCCGAGTGCTGGGATTATAGGCATGCACCACCACGCCCGGCCTATGATTTACTGCTGAGAGTGGTGCTAGAAATCTTCCTGGGAGAACTCAACTGGTGATGTTCTGGGAACTCTGCTACAGACCTGGTGGGGTGAGTCTGTCTGTCTGTCTGTCTGCAGGGCTGAGGCTGCTGCCTGCCCTCTTCCCTGTGAAAACGAGTGCCTCCCAAGCAGACTGAGGGAGCAGCCTGGCTCTGAGGGTTACTTCAGCCTGCTGGATACCTCTATCTGCCATTTGCTTGGGGGAAGGGGAGCTGCAGAGAGTAAGAAGTACCTTCCTATAATTACAGATGACCCGAGGAGCCCAGAAGCATCTCCAGCACCAGAGGCCAGGGGAGCCCAGGCTCCTCAGATCCTCCCTTATCTGCAGAAAGGTGCTGCTTTACACTCGCTGGTCCCTTGGGAATGGCCTGAGGGGCGTGCCCAAGCCAAGGAGGGGCAGGGAGGACACCAGGGTCAGCCATCACCAACTGCCACCCGGCCTTTACAAACAGCCTCACCCTGGGGGCCTCAATTTCCTTGTCTGTAAAGTGAGAAGGAGAAGCAGGTGATAACCGAGTCCCTTTGGGATTAAAATTAATCTTACATATTTTTTCTAGGAGGCCTCAGGTGTCTCAGATGTCTTTGGCCAAGTTTTGGAAGCCTAATCTCTACAGGTCAGAGGTGAGGGAGGCTTGTTTGCCGGGAGCCTCTCCCTCTAGGGGAGGTGAAGGGTAACTGCCGGGACACTGGGGAGGTCAGGGAGCTGCTGCTCCTCCACTCTCCCCTCTTGGACTGCCCACCCCCAGCGTCTGTCCTGACGGGGCAGATAGATGTCCTGCAGAGCGCTTGGTCCTGGGCCAGGAGCTGACACACCGCAGCTGTGGGGTCTTGGACAAGCTGCGCTCCTTCTGAGCCTCATCTGATGAGGGCTTCCGGTCCTCATGGTCGAGAAGTTCAAGGCGACAGTGAAATGAGCAGCACAGGGGCCAGGAAGGGTGCTCTGGCTCTGGTAATGCAAATCCTCCCCGCCCCTCAGCTGCAGAATCACAGCAGCGCCTTTGAGATCCCCTGGGCCCCATTTCTGTTTTCCGGAGCCCAGATGTCCTCATTGCCCAGCCTGCCATTCAACCTGGAGCTCTGGCCAACTCCACAGCATCTCGCTTTGCTAGGGAAGAGACGCTGGTGGTGCTGGCATCAGGAGCCAGGACTGGCAGAGGGCAGGCGGAACTTTGCAGGGACACTTCTTCCCTTCCTTATCAGTGTTTTTTATAACAACTTGGAATGCTGGCCCAAGATTTTTTCCCCCTGCAGTACCGGGGAGTGAACCTAGGGTCTTCACACTGAGTTACATCCTCAGCCCTTGTTTTGGGGGTGGAGTTTGAGACACAGTCTCACTATGTAGTCCAGGCTGGCCTTGAATTCATGGTAAGCCTCCTGCCTCAGCCTCCCAAGTGCTGGGATTACAGGTGTGCGCCACTACCCCAGCTGGCCCAAGAATTTTGATCTTATACTTCATGTAAAGTTCAGGCATAAAGTTGCTTAGCGTCCAGGGGAGGTCTTATCTCCCAGACAAGGTCCTCACTGTGTGCCAGGCCCAGGGCAGCAGTGGGGACGCAGATGGGTTTATGGTGCTGCAGGCAGGATGAGAATTAAAAACGTCAGCATGGGTTTGGAGGGAGCCCAGAGAGCAGGCAGTCGGATGGATGATAGGGCTCCAGGGAAGTAGGAAGAAACCAGCCAGCTTCCTGGAAAAAAAATCTGAACTCTGTTTTCAGGGGAGTAAGGTGCAGGGCAAAGGAAGGGAATGGCCGGTGAGAGAACAGCCTTCACAAAGGCAGCGAGTGAGCAACCATGAACAGTGACGCAGAAAGGTGCACGCAAGGCATGGTGATGACCAACACGGGCCGGGAAGATAAAGACGAGCCAGATAGACTCCACCTGCGGGGGAATGAGGCGGGGACAGCCCACTTTGACGCAGAGGCCAGACAGGCATGAGATGCCTGCTCTTGGTGCTAACATTCCTCTAATAAAGTCTCCTCTATCTGCGCAGACAGCTTTCTGCAGCCTTCCTGGTTTAGGCTGGCGGCTGGTTGTCCCTCTCGGATTATTTTCAGGCCTGTGTATGCCACAGAGAGGAAGGGGGCAACCACAGTGGGGACCACTCTCCAGTCCTGCGGCAGCAGCTCCATGTCAGTTAGCAGGAGACAGGGCTGGGGACCAACAGCCGCTCTCCAACACGCTTTTCCGGTCTTCCAGTGTGGCATGGGTTCGGTCTGCCTGGCGCTGCTGGCGGGGGTTCCCTCAGGAAGCTGCAAACGCAGGGATACTTCAGAAGCTCTGGTCCCTGCCGACCAGGCGCTCTCAGTTTGGGGTTCCCATCAGGCCCCGTCGTTCAGCTGCTCCCTGATCTTTCCCCTGCAAACGTACCTCTGGAGCCACCCTATCAGCTTCGGGCTGTGCGGGGGAACTTGGTGGACCCTGCCAAGAGGTGCCCTGAGCTTGCTCCTGAAAGTCAAGGCCTAGTTTCAGTGGGCCGAGGCAGGAGGGTTGCCGGGCAAGTCCTCCTTGAACACCTGTGCCCTGGGGGCTTGGATGTCATCTCTGGAAATCTTCTTGATGGTCTTGTTCACAAACGGGGGCACAGAACTTCGAACAGCAGCCACAGACACAGCAGCACCAGAAGGGGACCCAGGTCTCTCTGCCCTGGACGTTTTCTTTCTTTCCCTTCTTGCTGCTGCCTTCGAGGAGCAGCTGGGCAGAGAAAGACGCCAACTCTTCGCCAGCGTCTTGGCATGGCTGAGTCTCACCTCAGAGGGATCAATTCAACCAGAGTCTCTGGACTCAGGCCAGACCTACGTGTCATTTGGGGCTCCGCAGATGACTGCGGTGGGCAACCCCGGGCTGCAACGCATTGCTTGCTGCGACCGCAGGCTGCACGTCGCCCCCTCCAGGGCTCTTCAGGTGCATCTTTCACAGCTAGACCCTGCTCAGGAAACCAAAACTCAAAACCGGGGCTGGCTAATTCTCCTTCCCTTGTGCACAGAGCCTGGGGAGGGGCCCGGGGGCTCCAGCCCTGCCCGCCCCGCTCAGGTGCGCGAGGCGCAGCAGGAAGCCGCCCCCCTGCGGGCGCGCGCTGCGCTGGGCTGTTGTTGCGCCATCTGCGGCCCCGGGCTTTCGTAACCGAATCCTGGGACGGCCCAGAGGCTCTCTGGCGAGTTCCTCAAATGTCTTCCTGCGCTGTTTCCAGGACGGTCCGCTGCTCTGAGTCATGTGCAAGTGGGAAGTCGCGCTGACACCGAGCGGGGCCGGAGCCGGCCGGGCCGAGCGCGGCGCGGAGCCGAGGGCCTCGCAGTGAGCGCTCGGAGCGGAGCCAGTGCGGCT